ATAGCCGAACCAAGTGGATGTTGGCTTGGAATGAGGTGCAAGGTTTCTTCGTCATCTAGGTACCGGTATTTTCTCTCGTCATGATCTCGAATGTAAAGATCTTCAATATGAGGAGGAGTCTGGGGTGGCTTTTGGGGGACAAGCGACGGCACAGCTTCCCTCTTAAAGCTCATCCTAGGCTGGTGGACAGTGGGCCATCCCCCCTCTGGCCAGTCGACGGGTGAAAGAAAAGACTCGCGACCGAGGCCAAGAGTACTATTCGGCTGCTTTCGGACTCCAAGGACAGCGGCCCACCATCTTCTATCACCGTCCTGGAACAGTGAGCCGTGCCCAATATTCTGGATATACTCGTCCTTGCCATCAGCCGTCATAATGGGATTCTGCTCCCAGGACTCGTAGGGTCCCCAAATGTCTTTGGACCTTGCGATTGTCAACATGTGATGTTCGAATGTTCCACCCTCGGCGGCCAGGAGGTAGAAATATTCCCCAACTTTGTAGATGTGTGGCCCCTCCGTGTCGTACTTTGCCCAGCCAGACCATATCTCTGTCGTTTCGGAAAGCAACTCTCCAGTGTTGATGTCAATTTGGACCTGCTTGATGGTGTTCGTTGGCTGTCTGTCGTTTCTGATATGCCAAGCTCCCTGCACAAAGACCCGGCCATCGTCATAGAAAAAGAGGCTGGTGTCAATGCCACGGTAGTCAAAATAGACAGGGTTGCCCCAGTTATTGCTCCAGATGTCGTGGCACTTGATAATGAAATTGTGCCTCTCGTAATCTTGGCCGTTGAAGGTTTGATTTGTGGTGATAATATAGAAGACTCCTTCATGGTAATGTATACTAGGAGCAACAATGCCCGTAGTTGCAACCATGGTGAAGCCCGTATCCAGTGGCACATGTATCGTGTTCGCATCTCGCAGGCTCATCTGTGAGCGTTTATGTAGAGCATTGCCTACCAACAGAACGAAAATGTCAGTCCTTGGGCTTCTGAATGACAGTTTATGAAAGTTGATACGAACCAATGTGTGTCCATTCTTTAAGGTCCTTTGAGGCGTAGATGGGAAGACCTGGGAATACATGGAAGGACGAGGTGCAAAGAAAGAATGTACCGTCGACGAAGACAACCGAGGGGTCTGGTGCAAATCCAGGCACAATTGGATTTGAATACAGAATTTCCGCGTCAGAGCGTTCCATGGTGGACCTTCATAGAAACCTTGACAGATGAAAGCAATATAGTTAAGAATTAAACGGACTCTAGGACTGTTTAATACTTTATATTCTTATAATTAAAGGTTGTATTATCTCAGTTTCATAATGCCTAAGAGCAAATGGAGTCGGCTAAATTGTGGCATTACGCTCTGGTCGTATTAGTAAAACCCGCATTTTGAAATCCAGCTATGGATTCAAAAGGGACATTACATAAATTAGAGGAATTTGCCCGAATCCCACTTCCTATGGTAAAACAATAAATGTAATGACCCGTCAATTGCCCGATCTGCACAGGTGTATTGGTCCGGCTCTGCGGGTATTTACTACTAGCCTCAGAATTCTCGGTCCACATATTTTTCTCGAACTTTTGCTCGGCTGAATTGCGGGGAGTGGCCTGCCTATGTGTAATGCCCTGGGATCTCTGGTGCGCAACCGCAGACCAATCTCTGAAAATGCTGTTTGTAAGTATATATCTCCACCGAGGATTTTCTTTTCGAATTTAGCTAATCCATACGATACTACTGCAAATCATCACATCCGCCACTTATCAAATCTCACAATGCCTGTTCTTGTAGAAGCAGGCCATGCTTTGGAGCAGCCTACGATTGAGGAAAAGGTCAAGCTTCTCTCGGGCAAAGATAATTGGTCTACCTACCCTATTGAGCGCCTGAAAATCCCCTCTCTTACGGTGCGTGTTATTATGCTCAAGCCAACGGTGGCTTACCACGCTTACCTTTGTTGAACAGGCCACAGATGGTCCACACGGGGCGCGAGGCACGTCCTTCTTCAATGGCGTAAGTCATCCCCGTCCCACCAGTCTGAGAAGATGGTATGGTTAATCCTGATCAGCCGCTAGGAGCTCTGCTTCCATCAGCGACAGCGATGGGGGCGACCTTTGATACCAAGTTGATGCGGTCCGTCGGTAATATGCTGGCTGCAGAGACCATAGAAAAGGGCTGCCAGATTCTACTTGCTCCAACCGTTTGTCTACAACGTTCTCCCCTTATAGGCCGTGGTTTTGAAGCCTTTGGCGAAGATCCGATTCTCAGTGGTATGATGGCCTCCGAGTATATCAACGGTGTACAGGAAAAAGGGGTTGCGACTTCCATCAAGCACTATGCAGCACATGACCAGTCATATATGTCCCCCGAGGACGACTTGCAAGTTGCTGAAAGGACACTACGAGAAGTACACCTTTTGCCTTTTCAGCTAGCGGTAAAACACGCCAAACCCTGGTCATTCATGACTTCATATCACCGCATAAATGGCGTTCATACTTCAGAAAACGAGTGGCTTAATACACAAATCCTGCGCCAAGAATGGGCATGGGACGGGCTGCTGATGAGTGATTGGGGTGGTGTCTTCAGTACTGCCGAGGCACTGAATACTGGCATGGACCTGGAGATGCCGGGCCCTTCAAGGTGGAGAGGTGATCTTCTGCACCTTGCTCTCTTTTCTCGAAAGGTCAAGAAATCGATGATCGATGAACGAGTTCGGAATCTGCTCAACCTAATCAACAGGGTGCGACCGGCTATTGAGCGCCAATCACCGAACGAAGAAGCTGGCGATACACCTGCAAAGAGAGCACTATGCCGAGACGTCGCTCGAAGCTCTATCGTCCTGCTCAAGAACGAAGGCAAGGTATTGCCTCTCGACCCATCAACGCAACAAACCTATGGTCTGATCGGCCTTGGGGCCATATACCCCGCCGTTAGTGGCGGTGGCTCAGCCGATCTACGCCCATACTACGTCCAAAAGCCGCTTGAAGCCATAGAAGATGTTGTCGGCAAGGGGAGAGTGAGGACTGCCGTTGGCTGTTATTGTAGGTTTGCGTCTGAAGTATCTCTGATTCAGTACATTATCCCACTAAACTCTTGCCCCAATAGCTCACATATTCACACCGCCGCTATCCGAACACGTCGCTGTTCCAGGAACAAATGAAGAGGGTTATCAACTCATTTGGTACGGTGATGACCCAGAGAGGAACCCCAAGGCTGAACCACTTCACTCTACGACTACAACCCAGGCCACGATGTATTTTGCAGACAACCACCCCCCCGGCGTTCCTGACGCATACTGGCTTCGCGTCGTCACATTATACAAGGCACCTAAAACAGCGACTATGCTTGTCGGTCTTTGTGTGATGGGCAAGGGACGCCTCTATATCGATGGCAAAGCGGCCGTCGATCTTTGGTCGAGCCATCCCAAGAAGACGCTCCAGACACCCATGTTCAATCAAGCAAGTATGGAATTGACAGCTGATTTCGAAGCCAATGAAGGACAGGTTTACGAGATCTCTGTCCTCCTGAAGAATGAATCTATGTCCACCAGCCTTGGAGGGCCCTATGTCGGAACGTCATGCATTGGTGGTGTTCGGATCGGGTGCTGCGAAAAGATCCACCCTGCTGTCGCTTTAAATGAAGCCGTTGAACTAGCGAGGAGTGTAGACGTGCCTATTGTCATAGCTGGTCTGAACGCCGATTATGAAACCGAAGCGGTGGATAGGCACGATCTAGAGCTGCCACCTGGGATCAACGACCTTATTCAGAGGGTAACCGAAGCGAACCCTAAAACCGTGAGTCAATGGAAAATGTCATTCAGATCACCATGGTTCCTGGTTAATGTCAAATTAGATCATTGTCAATCAGTCCGGCTGTCCAGTGACCATGCCCTGGGCCAACCATGTTTCGACTCTTATCCAGGCGTGGTTTGGTGGCCAGGAAACAGGCAACGCTATCGCCGATGTACTCTTCGGCCGCTGCAATCCGTCCGGACGTCTGTCTATTACGTTCCCGCGCCGACTTGAAGACACGCCGTCTTTCCTTAGCTTCGGCAGAGGCGTCCGCCAGATGTATTACGGAGAAGGCGTATTCATCGGCCACAGATACTACGAGAAGCTTGGCAACGACCCGCTCTTTTACTTCGGATTCGGTCTTTCATATACGACCTTTGAGTACTCGAACCTCAAGGCCCCAGAGGTTGTCGACTTGGGCGATGATGGGGAGCAAACTTTCAACGTGTCGGTTGATGTTACCAACACCGGTGACAAAGATGGACACGAGATCGTACAATTGTGGGTCTCTGATGTAGAATGCGCCACTCTACGGCCACGCAAAGAATCGAAGGGGTTCGCCAAGGTATGGGTGCCCAGCGGTGGGAAGGTGAAGGCCGAAATCAGCTTGAACAAGTATGCCGTGTCATACTGGGACGAAGAAGAGGAGAAGTGGCTTGCTGAAAAGGGCTCTTTCAAGGTGGTGATGTCGCGAAGCGCAGACCCTAGAGATGAAGTGTTGCAGCGCGAGTTCAAATTAGAAAGGGATTTGTACTGGGGCGGGGTATAGACGAGTGTAAAAAGATGGATGTAACTGATAGGAAGGTACATTAGTTTATGTAATACTTTTGAGTATCAAGGTATCGCTAGATTATAGAATATGGGATAGACAGAGTAATTTATCATCGTGGAAGCTTTTTGGGTAGAAGCTTATATTGTGAAAAAGATATCGTCTCCTCATCACCTGTGTTGGCAGCCTAAAGCTTAACCTTGTAGGCAGCAATCGACTACATAGGCACTAGATTATAGAACAAGGAATAGACAATGTAAGTTATCTTATGCTTCCAAGTGAGGATAGGTTGCTCTGGCTCTACTAGTGAGGACCAATTTGGTAGGGGGTGCTGAGGGTCTTCCACCTTACACTTTAGAAGCATCGTTAACACTTCTAATCGTATATTTGTCGCTCTTTATGAGATGGTACTTTTACAAATATTGATCTATACCAGTGTATCTAAGTACTGATCTATGCCACTGTAATATCTAGATATCTGACCTTGACTTGGTTATTGCTAATCGCAAACACACCAATGACAGGCCCCACAAAGTCATGTCCAGTCATATCTAGGGAGTCTATTGCGCCCATCTCTCGCCTCGTCCCGTCCTCCCCGAGAGAATACCAAAAGGCAAGATAGAGTTCCGTGTAGTCTATCCCAAATACTATCCTCTTGTCGTTGGCCGACGCGCTAATGCTTTGAGATAATGTTCGTTCAATGGAACGGGCCCTATTGATAACCTCAAAGACAATATTCTTGGAGTCGACGTCAATAAAGACACGAGCATATCGGTGCTCGTCTTTGTAATAGCATAGACCTGTCTTGAGTCGAGAGTCTTTTATGCCGGAGCTATCCAGAGCCTCGAGCGTTGCGGAAGACATGCCATGAAGACTCCTTTGACGCTTTCCAATGAACGTCACCGGCTCGTTGTCCTGGTTCAGGTCCGCTGTGCTGGATGTCAAAGTGACACTGCTTCCATCATGTTCATAATGTTCCGTCACGGGGTCGCGGATCTGGAGATACGCGACGTCTGGACGTCCAAGCTTTCTCGCGACAGGAAGTTTGGAAGGGCAAAGGTTTTGGTCTGTTGGAAGGGGCACGTCGATCTGAACGGCGTCAATGACCGGGAATTCCCCTTGGTTCCACGAGGCCGTAGTAAGGACGGACTCGCGTCCCATGATGAAACGCCCGTTATTCTTGCGTACACCGAGGCATGCAAAGTACCATTGTCCCGAAGGATGCTGAAAGAGGTCTCCGTGGCCTGTGTACTGGATGTATCCATCAGGGTCCGCTTTCGGTAGCACCGGGTTCGCTGGGTTAACTTCATACGGACCCCAGATATCTCGCGACCGAGCCATAATGACATGGTGGTCTGCAAAACAGCCGCCTTCAGCGATAAGAAGATAGTACCATCCATCCCTCTTATACATGTGCGGACCCTCGGGGTACACCTTCGTGATACCCTCCCAGAGCATCTTCCTTTCGGAGAGGTCTTTGCCGGTCTTGACATCGATCTCGAACTGCCAAATCTGCGTTTCCGGAGCGGGTGATTGGGCGCCCATGAGGTACACGCGGGTCGTCGTCGTCCCAGAATAAGCTGGTGTCGATTGCTTGGAAGTTGAAGAAGACCGTATCGCTCCATTCGTCGGCCCAGATATCGGTGGTTGACAAAATGAAGTTTCGACAGCCGTGCTTTCCAGCGGGCGGCTCCTTCTGATAAATATTGGTGCAGACGATGTAAAAGGTACCCTTGTGGTATCTGATCGTGGGAGCCATGAGCCCTCCCTGGGCGGCTATCTTGATACCATCCTCATCAGGGCCGACCAGCCGAGTCATCGAGCGCTAGAAGACATCAATCCTACCCCATTCACTGCATTGCCTGGTTGAAATCGTAAGCAGGGGAGGCCATTGACTGGAGATCGCAGATGTGCAAGACTGGAGAGATTTACCAATGTGCTTCCATTCCTCCAAGCCTCTGCATGCATAAACTGGCAGGCCCGGGAACATGTGGAAGCTGGAGTTGACAAGGAAGTAGGTGCCGTCCACGTAGGTGACGGAAGGGTCGGGAGCAAACCCAGGAATGATGGGGTTGACTTTAATGCGCTCCATCTTGTAATATTGTGTGCCATTGAAGCGACAAATGTAGGCTTGATCGGAATAAATTCCAGGTCAAGTATGACCCAGGCTTATTATGCCTCCGTGTGCATTTCCGAGGTGGTCTGGGCGCGGGGGCTTACCAAGCATCAGCTGTGCGAGCTAGGGTGATCCATAGGGGCCAAGTTCATCTTAAGCTCGGGGCTGAAGACCCTTATCTTCCGAGCGTGTGATCATACATAGCCACCGTTGCTGTTCATTGACTGCTCGGAGAAATAGCTATAGGGTTCGGCATTATTGCGGGGTCTTTTATTAGACTGTCTGGGGGATATTGGGGTACCCAGGCGGGCCCGCTCTCTTGACATACGTGGCTTAACATGAACATGTGAGCATTTCGGGCAATTATCGTGCTCGCTTTAGCTGCAGCCCCTTTTCTGATTCCCATCTCTTGGTTAGTCCCAACAGTGAATCCCTGCAGCCAAGTTTTGAGTCTCAAAGACAATACAACGCAGGAACTTCAACCGGGGGACCAGCCAGCGGCCCAAACCCAACCTCAAATTCCCTTAGACTGCATCAAATGAAATGCAGTGGCGACACTGACAGTGGTTAATAGAGAATGAGCTGAATCGTAATTTCTTGCCGCCCGTGGGTACAATGATTACACCGACGTGCGGTATAACAACCCCGAAGGAGCACCGCACCTTAGTTTGTCAGTCGATGGGATCAAACTTTTTGGCTATTGGAGTCCAACAGTTCGACCGCTGAGAGACGTTACTAGGTTGGCATTAGCGACCAGGGTTACTTAGCTAGCGGGTATATACTGTATTTGCTCGAGCAAGTCAAAAGCTAAATTTCGCTCAATTCCACCGAATACGACAAGGTAGTGCTTAACTTAACGATTACATACGAGATTACAGAGGAGTCTCGAACCGCTTACTTACTCCCTGCTGCAGCCCCCCAGATAAAGCCCGCACTATGGATTCTACCAACTCAAATGAATATCAACTCTAATCATCGAATAAGGTTATCCAATCAACGAATCCTTCCGATTGACCCCTCATGAGAGAATAATAACCATCACGGTTTCTAGCTTAATCGCAGGTGGTCGGGGTTCATAATTGCAATTGTAGTCCGAGAATTTGCTCCATGTCTCCCGAGCTGACACTCTGCTTCTCTACGACTTACCCCAATTAATCCTGCTCGTTCATAAATAGTCCCTGTAGCCGGAAAAGGCTCCAGCTCACCTCGCCACACCAACCACCTCATCATGGCCCACAACCTTGATCGCACTTGGATGTGGCATCCATCCTTCCGTGAAGACATCCCTGACACATCTGGCCTGTTTGTTCACTTCAGGAGGAGATTCAAGCTAGACTGCCAGCCACCAAGCAACCTGGTCATCCAGATCACGGCCGACACCAAGTACAAGCTCTATGTGAATAGCCAACAGGTTGCATTCGGCCCTGTCAAGGGAGACGCCAAGCTATGGTTCTACGATAACGTTGATATTGGCCCATACCTGCGACAGGGTGAAAACCACATTGCGATTCATGTCCTGCGTCTGTTTATCAACGATGCGTATGCCCCTTCTTTCCCACGGCTTCCGTCTGGCGGTCTCAGAGTCAAGGCTGAGACCGAGAACGAGCCTTTCGCTGCCCTCCTTGAGAGTAGCGAAATGTGGGAGACTGCTATCGATCCATATAGCATGCTCAGAGTGGACGAGCCTGAAGACTTTTTTCTTCACGTCTACGAACGAACCAGCGCCACTTCAGAGAACAGATTGACTTGGTGCCTTGCTAAGCTGCTCGAGTTTGACAACCAATTTGGGCACACAACCCCTTGGAAGTTATCCCCTCGAATGATACCACAGTCTCGAATTCAGCGTGTTGCTTTGAAACGAGTCCATAATGTCAAGAGTGATATAGCCCAGGAGGCCTGGCAGGCCAAACTCTGCAGCAACACCACGACGGCAGATGATCAGACAAGCCTTAAGCTACCACCGGGGAGCAATCACTCAATAGAGGTTGAAGCAGACGGCCATCTCACTGCCTTTATCCGCGCTAGATTCCAACGGCCGCAGAGAAGAGGAGCCTCTCTTCAAGTTATGTATTCGGAGAGCTACGAAGATGACCCCGGCGCGACACCCTGGGCGCGAAAGAAGGACGATCGATGCGACTATACGAAGGGTCTATATGGCACCAAGGACATTTACCAATTCCGTGGACAAGTCAACTTCGAACCCCTGGGATACCATCTAAATGAGTCAGAACGGGAGATCTTTATGCCATTTCACTTCCGCACCTTTCGATTCCTCAGGATTGAGATCAGTGCCGGGCCAGATGGTTTGGCGTTCGATGACCTCGAGGTCGACTCAGTCCACTACCCACTAGAAGTTACCGCCAGCTTCGAGGCTGACCAACAAGGGTCCGAGAACAACAAGCTCTGGCAGCAGCTCTGGTCGACGAGTATTCGTACCCTGGCGAACTGTATGCATGATTGCTACGAGGATTGTCCATTCTATGAGCAACTTCAATATGCCATGGATACCCGAAGCTCTGCCCTTTTCACCTATAACATATCTGGTGATGATCGACTAGCAAGACAAGCCCTTGTCCAGCTTCATAACTCTTTCGACGCCAGCATTGGACTGACAGCCAGTAGATCTCCCTCATATCGTCCTCAAGTTATCCCACACTTTAGCTTATATTGGATCATGGCTGTGAGCGATCACTACCTTCATCGGGGCGATGCCAAGTTTACCGCTCGCTTCCTTCCAGTTATTGATGCCGTCTTAGCGTTTTTTGAGACACGTATTGGTAGCAGCGGACTAGTCCACTCAGACCCAGAGCCTGGGGTCTGGTACTATGTTGACTGGGCTCTCGAATGGATTCCCTATGGCGTACCCCCAGCATTCTCACGGACCGGCATCTCGACATACACCAACCAGATTTATGCCTATGCTCTTCAAGTTTCTGCCGGTTTATTCAGGGATCTAGGAAGACCTGCAGTGGCCGAAGAGTTTCTGGCACGATCTGAGAAGATTGTGCGACGGGTAAGAGAGGCCTGTTATGATGGCGAATTTTTCACAGACACTATAAGCAGTGACTGCACCAAGAAAGACTATAGCAAGCACTGCCAAATCTGGGCTGTGCTAAGCGGCTGCGTGAAGGGTAGAGAAGCTCAGCCGCTAGGAAACTCGTACAGGAAAGTATCTCAATGTCTTTTTACACCCTCCGAGCTCTGACCACCGCCGGCTCTACTGTCTATAATGAAGCGTTTCCTTCGTTCTGGACCGTGTGGAGAAAGCAGCTTAGTCAGAACTTAACGACATGGGTCGAAGATCAGGGTGGGCAGCGGTCGGATTGTCACGCTTGGGGTAGCATTCCCATCTACGAAGCCACAGTAGAAGTTGCTGGAGTCTCTCCAGCTCTTCCTGGCTGGAAGGCAATCAACTTTTCTCCCCGCATCGAACTGTTCCCAAGTTTAGAGGCAACGGTTCCTCTGGATATGGTTGATGGCAAGCTTAGAGGTCTGGTTCGTGTGACCTGGACAAAAGATGAGAATGCGGAAACGAATCTACGGCTGTGTCTTGACATAGCAACAGATGAAACTATACCAGTGTATATTCTCATACCAGGTCATGAACAAGTACTCCAAGGCACAAGTGGACAATGGGACTTTGTTATCAAGGCTGCTTGAGATTTTCAATCTGACAAGTAGATGAGTGCATTGGTCTAGATTGTTTGCAGGAAGAGCGGCTTCGGGTTTCCTTCATTTATAGTCTCAACACATTAGATACAAGCTTCCCAATCGTCAAGAAAGTAACTTTTCATGTTTCCGCTCCATTGTACGCTGCAAATTGCGAGATAATAACAGACTGTCTATGTTCATGAGCAGTTCAGACGATGGGAAATCTGTGCCCTTAATCGTTAGCTTGCTGTCATCATGATCTCCAAATCGGTACCCTGAGGTAGCTGGTGGACTGCTACGCGTGTACGGGACTGAAATATCATGTTTCAGTGTTTCGATCCTGCATAGCTATTTCGCCGAAGCATTTACTGATTTGGAGTTGTTGGGGAGAAGCTCATCCCAGGGGACATTGAGGCCGTCAAAGTCCTTCATGTCAGCCAGAACGATATTTGCTTTGACCATGCGGTCCAAGCTACTACCAGCAGCTTCAGGTACAGCTTTGGGGTTCTGAGGCGCTGTACACGTACGATTTAATGGAGTGCCAGAGGCGAGTTTGTTGGTTACTAAATCTATACTAATAGCACCGCTATAGTAGATGATGTTACTGAACTCAACAGCTGTAGAGAATTATCTTGCCGACTTATAGAACTGCCACGTAGTAAATACACCTTCCAAATACTTAACGCCGGAGAAACGAGGCCCGCAGCCGGTCGAATCGAGAGACAATCTTCCGAGAGAGCACCTCGAATCATCATTTCCGGCCAATATCTCACCTGGGATAGTCAACAGCCCATCACTCTCTGACGTGAAGGAATTCCCTTACGCCCAATCGCCAACTCTTCGTTATTGAACGGCATATCGGCGAATCCAGTACTTTTACAACCGGCAATCAAAACGCAAATCGCGATCAGGGTGCATCTACACCTCCTGACGGGGTTACTAGTTGCCACCCCGTCTGACGACGCGGCGGCTGTCTATCTTGTTCGAGTTATAGAATGGAACTCTAAAATAACCCCGGAGATACTTATTAGTGTTTAAGCTCGTCCTGAAAGCACCCCTGAGGTATCACAAGCATGCTTCGAGACGAGAACCTTGATGAACAATTTCCCTTCTTTTTCCCAGCTCTTCTCAACGCCCGACACCAATCGAGACATAGAACAGCAACTATTTGATATCTTACAGCGATAACGGACCAATTATCTTAAGATACTCCACAGCGTAAAGGTCTTGGTACTAGCCTCGGCAATCATATGCAATATGGCTGGGATTATGGGTCTAAGCGCGGAGCCTCTAATCCTTGCCATGAGACAGATAAAGTATACCTATGATTTCTCAAATATACTCAAGAACGTTCTATTTCTATATCTCCGGTCAAGAGGAGATCAATACGTAAGTAAACCTAGAGAGAATGGCTACTTAGCCGAATTCTTATTCGCTTATATAATTTATCGACATAGGCTGAGAAGACTTAAAAAAAACCGGGAGTCGGATGCTCGAGTTAGCGCGTAACGTGGGAAACAATGTGGCCAAGACTCGGACGAATCGATGTGCCATGCGCTTGAACGATTTGTTGGCACGCTTAAATTCAACGGCATCAAACCTGATAGGACAAGTAAATTAGTTTTTAAGTTGGCCATATTAAGAATAAATGCTGTTCCCTCTGTATCGCTTGTCTCTAACAATACATCTTCAATTATGGAGCTTCCCAAGACATGCCTAGTCTTATCTGAGGTGTGAATCTTTACACCTCTTGATCCCCACATCTTCGACCACGATGTAACCAGAAGATGAATTCGTTAAGCTGGCATTCGTAAAGTCCGCACTAAACTTCGCTAACAAACCCTTGCCAAGCACTACCCCGCTTCGGTCACTTCTGAACGACAAAGTTACGAGGGGGAATTTGTGGATCAATTTAGCCGAGCCGCCTGTTGTGAGATGGGGCGACTCGAACTCGCGATTGGGAGCGAGTAGGAGCTAGTATCTCTTGATTGCCCGACGTGAGACAGGTTCTCGAAGGGGGTGGATTGAATTCTTGAACGAACTTGGGGTGGAGATAGAGGATGGCCATGTGAGCAAAGGTGATACTCAGGGAATTGAGTAACAGTGAGCAATGCAGTCCCTATCCAGCTATTCATCTTAGAACAGAACTCATGAGCCCTCGGGCAATTGGAGCCGGGCAAACTATGGCGCCAGAGAATTAAAAGCCGCACCCCAATGTCCGCAGAAGACCTTCCATTATCAGGAATCCAAGGCTCACCTCAACCTCAACGCTAGAGCAGTGACGCGTACCCCGCTTCTCTCGCCTGCGTTTTGGTCTTATCCGTTGATGACCAGGGTTTCTTTCGTCGGCATCATGTTGACTCATATCGTTGCTGCGAAAACTTCAATTGCCTGATGATGATTTCATCAAGTCGCGGCATTATCCTTCTCAAAGAACGACATAGAAATGCTGATAACCGTCTTTACTCTCTCTAGCTGCAATTATGGCGCTTAACTGTAGAACGATCTAGGCTTTATATTATCAACTTAAGTTATGCTATGATCTGATCCTGCTGTCTTGAGATTTGAGATAAAGAAAACGGTGACAGATTGGATCGTTTTATTTTTATTTGTTTCTCGGTTATATGGCGGTTGAGTGTAATTTGTCGTTTGTTCGACACGGGTGAGAGTATTTGTCCGAGGAGACATGACTTACCTTACATTTACACCCAATATTTCCCCCGAGATAGGACCTGGTAAGTGAAGTGGCTAATTCACCCTAACATTTGACACTGTTGATCGTATAAATGAAGTAGCAGATCAACGTAATACGACAATACGCGTAGAACTAGCCCGAATGGCTGATGATCCTCACATGTTGTCTATCAGGTAGATTCGCGTATTAGGCCGAAACTTTTGTATCCAGCTTCTATTTGCGCATTCAGCCCACAACCTCTCCTTCAGCCTAAATTAAGTCTACGACATGATTCCAAGCTCGACTATTTTGTGCTTGTATAAAGGTATGTAAATGGCGCACGAGGCTACATCCCTAAACAATCTCTCACTCTTCAAACTACCAACAAGCTCAACATCACTATGCCCTCCGTAAGAAATCCCATTCTGCCTGGGTTCAACCCCGACCCTTCTATTCTCCGAGTCGGCAAGGACTACTACATCGCAACATCAACATTTGAATGGTATCCCGGCGTACAAATCTATCACTCGACAGATCTAGCCAACTGGACGCTCGTCACTCGTCCGCTATCTCGTGAATCTCAGCTTGATTTGCGCGGCGAACCGGATAGCTGCGGCGTATGGGCACCATGCCTTACTTACGACGGCGACGAGTTTTGGCTCGTCTATACCGACGTTAAGCGGAAAGCCGGCTCCTTCAAGGATACTCATAACTACATTATTCATGCCTCATCTATTGGGGGACCTTGGTCGGATCCTATATATACCAACTCTTCGGGCTTTGATCCCTCGCTTTTCCATGATGATGATGGTCGAAAGTGGTTTGTTAACATGCTGACTGATCACCGCTCGCGTCCAGAGCCATTTGCAGGAATTTGTCTGCAAGAGTTTGATTACGAAAAGAGCAGACTGATAGGGCCCAGAAAAAATGTATACAAGGGCACAGATGTCCGCATCACCGAGGCTCCTCATATGTATAAGCGGAACGGGTGGTACTATATCCTCATAGCCGAAGGCGGCACTGGCTATAGCCATGCATGCACTCTTGCTCGATCACGCGACATATGGGGACCCTATAAGACACATCCCGACAAGCATATTCTCACATCTAAAGATACGCCATTTGCAGCCTTACAGAAGGCTGGCCACGGTGATATTGTCGAAGCGCTAGATGGCAAAGTCTACCTCGTTCACTTAACAGGTAGGCCTGTGGGCCACTTCCCCCGATGCGTGCTAGGCCGAGAGACCGCCATCCAAGAAGCATACTGGGGTGACGATGATTGGCTTTATATCAAGAACGGGGCTGTTCCAAGCTTTTATGTTGCCTTCCCGCCTCGCGCGATGACACATTATACTGGTCAGAGCGAAAATATACGTTTGAAAAGGGTCTCCCGCAGGATTTCCAGTGGTTAAGAACTCCCAAGCCAGATCGCCTCTTCTCCTTTCGAGATGACAAGCTTGTATTGCATGGCCGGGAATCCATTGGATCTTGGTATGAGCACTCCCTTGTTGCCCGACGTCAAGAACACTTTTCCTATGAAGCTGAGACTGTCATTGATTTCTCGCCCGAGGATGAGCGTCAGCTTGCTGGCCTCACCGCATACTATAACCGATACTGCTTCTTTTATCTCGCGGTGACGACTGACTCAGACGGCCAACGAGAGCTTCTTATCATGACTTCTGAACAATCTTACCCACGCAGTTATCTTAAGGAACCATTTGTCGATCCCGTACAGATTCCCAACGAGGGTAAGGTCAAGCTAGCGTTGGCCATTCACGGGGGCCAACAGCTGCAGTTCTTCTACGCCCTCAAGGGACAAGATCTGGTTAAGGTTGGTCCTATATTTGACGCTTCCATCATGTCAGATGAGTGTGGCGGACAGGATTCTCTCACGGGAGCATTTGCGGGAGTAGCTTGCTCTGATTTGAATGGGTTGGGGAAGAAAGCCATATTTGACTACTTTATATACCGACCTATTGAGCATAAGTATGATCGCTATGAAATCAAGTCATGATCGATATAGGCGGAGTTAAGATCAGAGATATAATAGAATAGGAATGCGCTGGTAACTAAAACTAAGAGCATGTGCAATCGATGGAAAGTGGAAATGAAAACATGTCAACTATAAAGGGATTCCAGATCTCCTTAACTTTTGTGAGGTGCTTCAGTTGCTAATCAGTCGCTTTTATACGAATCCAACCTACCTATCATACAGCTCTCGATCGGGGGTAATACCACTTATCTGCAGAGCATGTACAAGAATAGTGTAGCACTGGATGATCGTTCCAGCGTTCGGAAGCCTGCATGCTCACCCCAGGGGCCAATTGGGCTATCGTTTGGAATGATAGCTTATACTAAACTATCCTTCACTTCTCACAAACATAACATCTTTAAAGAGGAAGATAGGTATAAATAGGCATATCCACACCAAAGCTAGTTAGCTTATAGTTCTTGCTTAACATTGTCAGCACTTATGTTTTTTTGGTCTTGTTTTAAGGTTTTCTAAAAAAAAGAAAAACAGCAAATAATCATTTATCCTCGGTATTATCTATGCAAATATTCTCCTTTGTGGGCTTTTAGATATAACACTCTTCCTGGTGGGCTGCTAAACAGCAAGTGCAGGTGCTCTGATAAGTATTTACCTTTAGCTATAACCCATTCTCGAGCTCCCTTCACTCCTAGCATTTGTATTTGAGCATTATATAATAACCGGTAGAAATATAGGTTAAGGGATGTTTAATACACTCGCTTACCTGGTATACTCGCTTATTAACCACATTATAAATAGCAGCTAAGTTATTAAAAAAAAAGCAATTTTAAGTAAAGAAGTTATCAATATTATTGAGATATTATAATAAGCAGATTATATGAACCTTGCCTCCTTACCCCTACTACCCTAGTTATACCTTATATTAAACACTCGTATTCTAAAAGCAGATAACGCTTCGGCCGCCGTAGATAGGATACTGAACACTCAAAGAATAGCCTTAAGCTACTTCACTAGTAATATTATGAAATGTAGGCAGAATCTAAGTATTATACGGCACAGCCTAGGCTGAAGGAGAAGAGTACGAAAAGCAGGCAATGTATGTAAGCATTAGTGGCTAGTGCTCTTTCGGTTTAAATAAGCCGTCAGTGGTAACGAATCGTATTTGTATATCTGCCATTCACTAATAGTTTCTTTTACTATGTCTTGAAGGCACTCTTTGGTTGTTCTGTCACTCAGCTAAACCATTAGAGCTGGAATGCATCTTAACATAAACCGACAATGAGTATTAGCACTTTAAAAAAGTCTTCTACCAGGCTATTACCTTGCTGTTAGTACCGCCCTCTTTACCAGCGGCTTCTACGGTTTGCTGGGCATTATCTATCAGGTCATTTGCCTCATCTGGGTTGCTAACAAGACGCCACGGACTCTCACTTGATGGAATGGATCTAACATTCTTTGTATTATGATGGCTATTTATATAACACTTAGTGGAGTGTTCGGCTTGGTAGATGATGATAACCAAACTGCTTCCCGAGGTGCTTTCGCGTCCGTCTTCGTCTATCCGATAGGTTATACCGTTTCCTTCATACCATTATTTAGATAGTATCTTCAGAGGTCTTCAACTTTAGCTTGAGGACAAATGGTATTGTACTCGCAGTAGCATTAAATCTTATGGTGGTGATTGTTTATTTCAAGTTACACCCCTAGCAATTGTAGGTATTAGCTAGTGGTAACTTTGCTTAACCAATAAAACTTGGAAAATCAGCAATCTAACTTAAGTACAGGTACTACTCTCTTTTTATGACGTCCAGCGCCGCTGGTGCTACTTTCTACTTCCTCTTGCCTCTCAAGACTGTAAGTGATCTTCTATCATCAGACGTACGGACCTTTTGCTTACATACATTAGCCCGGCAAGACTCTCGACGAGATCGCGGCTCTCCTCTGAGATGAAGTCGTTGGATCATCTTCACAAGTTAAAGAAAAGCTTGGCCATGATATCGAGGTTTATCAGCGAGAGCACCAAATCTCCTAAGGAGAAAATGGCTAATTGGCGCGCAGTAGTAGCATAAATCACTTTCGCCGGATCCCAGCCATGTAGTTGGAATTTTAGGCCCGAGCCTTATAGTACATTCTTTTACTACTCCGTGTTGATCTTGGACTTTCTGTCTATGCATCTGGCTTCAAATGAAGCGATGGACTACTTCATCCCAGTCCAGCTGCGTTCCCATCCCCTTCTTCATCATCCAAACACCCTCTTCGTGGTGCTCCTTGGCAATCGCCTTACGCGTCGAGCTGTGTACAGCTGTCCATAGGCTCTTGCTGATTCCTGTGCTAGGATATGCAAACACCCCGAACATACCAGCACCGCTCTTGGTCACTAGACTCGTCGCCCCTTTTCCGAACCCCTTGGTAGCCCCCAGTGCGCCTTCTTTCTTTGCGCCCTTGTATGGTTGTATCACGAAGTCACTAAGACCGTCGATGAAACCCCACGTAAATGTCTTTCCTGCGACTACCATGCCACTCTTGGCACCTGTCACTGGTTTGTGATCGCGCACGTTGCCGCCATAGAGTTGCGGTATCGACTTTAGACCCTCTATTATAGCCAGCGGAAAATCCACCAGCATACCTTTCGCGGCTGTTTGGCCAATTCCAGGATCCCACCGGGTGGTTTCAGTTAGGATAGGATTGCTCTGGTACCTGTATAGGGTCAGTCGACAGCCTGGCCGATGAGAAAGCGCATAAACAAGAAAACCAGTTACTCACGGCTTCAAGTGCTTACTATCGATCGACTTGGTAGAGATTAGAATCTCCGCAACGATCTTAGATAGCTTAATCGAAAGCTTCTACTTGATGTATGACCACACAGCAGGTTCATTCGTACGGAATCCGCTCTAGAGGGAGCTGTTTGTGGAACGACTGTACGGCAGCACGAACGCCTACCGCTGAGGCCATCTTATTGGCTATAATCGCGGCTGCAGTCGCGGCCTCTTGCGACCGACAGTAACGAATGGTTTCAGAGAGGTTGTCTACCGTAAGTTCTGTATGAGGTATCGGATTGGGACCTGCGCCTGCGCTGGCCACCATCTGACCCCAAAAAGGCTGGCTGAAGGTCGCACACTAGTATATAAGATAACGTGCATGATAAGCAAGTGGACCAGACAAGTGAGTGGGCCAAAAATCCCTCACCCTATAACATTTCTATTTGATCAATTGATCCTCAACCATCAATCATGTCTCAACCAAATAAAGAGGCAAACATCATTCTTGCGCTTCAGGCCTATCAGAACAACCCAGAATTAGGTCTCCATCGCGCAGCTGAGATATACCAGGCCTCCTATGGTTCACTCTGTCGCCGAACCCATGGCATTTCTTCTCGATACGATATTACACCCAAGTCACGGAAACTATCTGATCTAGAGGAACAAGCTATTATTCGATTTATCCTCGACCTAGATTCGCGAGGATTTCCCCCGCAACTGCGTGGTATTGAAGAAATAGAGCGTCTGATTAGATACTCTATTGCCTATGTTTCGAAGACTGAGTTCTTCCTGGCCTTTTACGCTGCATTTCAAGCTACAATCACGGAGGTAAATATTAAGGCAGGTTTTAGAGGAGCCGGGCTTGTTCCTCTTGATCCAGAAAGTGTGGTCTCAAAGCTTGATGTGCAGGCGCGGACTCCAATGCCTTTCGAGGAGGAGGCTAGCCACCCCAACCCTTGGGTTTCAAAGACCCCAAAGACCGTCCTCGAGGCTGAATCTCAGTCTAAATACCTTGAAAGACGAATCAGAAGGCATCAAAGTAGCTCCCCAGAGTCTATTCTAGATTCACTAAAGTCTCTTTAAAAGAACGAAGGCGGTTATGCATGAGATGGCGTTGATGAGGTCTGAGATCCAAGACCTTCGACGGGCAAAGAGACACTAAGCCGGCGGCGGAGGGCAAAAAGGGCCCGCCTATAGAAAAGAGGGAGGATGACACTGCTGAGGGAAGGTCTGCGGGCATTTCTACAGCATGTGCAAGATCTCCGGTAATGCTAGCTTTTCTCAAGCTCTGATAAGGTGGTGTCGGGGTAGCTGGGCTAAGGTATGGATACTCATCGCCGGCGAGCTCGTGTCGAATGGTGTTTCGTTTGTTGGCGGCTATTGACGGTGATGCGTAATATCTAATTCAAAAAGCGAGTAGTAAAGGAAGAACCGAGACGATGATAGAGGGAGTGACAGAAAACGCACTCTCAAAAGCCAGACGCTAAGTCAGAATATATAAGTACTGTGCATCTAGTTTTTCTTTGCGAAAACGTGGTGCGTGGCGCAGCTAGTAACCATCATATGTTAAGAGGCGTCCTGTGCTAGTCCGTACTCGATTCATGCTGTTCCTGAAATAGCCCCGCTTTTCGGGCACGCCAAACAAAACTGCCGAGATATTCTAACGGAGACAGCTACTAACAAAAGAAAAGCAAGCAATCCTAAGACAGATTTATTCGTTTCATCTACGGTACTTACTTATCAATACCCACAGTGTCTTTAGGTCACTTCATGTTGAACAGGTGCTGGGGCCTCACGTGCAAGTAGGGATATTTTAAGATTACAGCCGAAATGGTAAAACCTCTAAGGGGTAGATTTCAACAGAACACAACATGAATACACCAATTCACATCAATGAACCGAATACACGTAATGTCTGACACTTCATCCATCGGTCCCAGTATCCTCCTAGTAGTTCGTTGGTAACATCTACCATCCATAAACCCGTGTTCGTCTAAAGCATAGGCCAAGGTACCAAAATACGCAAAAATGAGTAAAGCCGGGGGCTATCGCTGTTGTAGCAACTCGAGGTACTCTTTGGGAGTGGCGTGCAACCAAATGTATGGTGCAGACCATATAGACATTGCATTTCCGGAGTAGGTAGAGCGCCTGGTCATAAATGTGTGCATCACTACTGCGTTGCCATACTTCCTGTATATTGCGGAAATGGTCGTCTTCAACAACTGATTACTGGTTTGGATCCAGCTTGTCCCAATTACCGATATCTGTCAAGTTACTCAAAGGTCCTCGGCGCACCCTCTCATATACAGGATGAAGCACTGCGTCGACGCCGCGTATCGCTGGGATCCATCCGGCTCCGAGGATGCGAGACTTACGGTCGGCAGAAGAGTTATCATAGAGAGGCCCAAAGATGGCCAACACGTACAGATGTTCAACGACGAGCAAACAAATAACACAACGCTGTTATCGTCGCTCATTTGGTTTATGCCTTGCCGAAATCCCTGTAGTGTTATATTATGATGATAGGCTGCGATGCAGATAAGCCTCCGACTGTGAGCGGGCTGTCTGTAGGCAAGATGCAGCGCTGCTAGGCTAAGAATGCCATGCATGACGAATGCGTGTTGGAATGCGATCTGTGGAAAAACTATTTGCCAGTAATGGTCTCCACCAGAGGGCTTTACAATGTCTAATAAACTCCCTTATGTTGTTTGTAGAAGCTCTTGTCATCATGTGAATCGACCTCCTGTCTTTGATCGGGATCTGAAGATGTATTTATTGAATGAATTGCATAGTAATTTGGCTGTGAAAGGTTGGAAATTGAAACTATTGGTACCCCGCTTGTACTGCCACAAGAACCGGGATAAGGTGGGGCGGGGTACGCCTTGGAGGCTTAGGGGATAGGGATGAAAACCAATAATGTTGTGTCACGTTCGGGGCTTCGGAGGTCCGTTCGGTCATCTCGCTCCAACTCGTTTAATGTACGATGGACGGAAACCCCGAGGATGGCGTAATAAATGTACGTACGTAAGATTTGCCACGAGGCCCAGAATAATAACTGAGAGACATTGAATTTACCCATCTCGATTGCCAGGAATCAATTAAGCACTGCATATGCTGCCAGCGTTGGTCCTTACCTGCAGAATATTGATATTGAAACATATGTCCTTGATAGACAGACAGATAATAGAATTAAAGTTTTCTTGGTACCATAATCTTAATGCTAGGTCTCAAAGGCACTAACAAGGAGAGTTTAACCTAACCCCAAAGCTGACCTGTGGGTGTCATGATCGACGCTTGCATATGTAACTGAGGGCGCCCCCCTTCCTGAACATGGGCCCTGACAAATCACCAACGGACACAATGGATCATCTGCCAACGAGCAGGAGACGATCACACAAAAAGTCAAGAACAGGCTGCACCAATTGTAGGAAGCGGCGGGTCAAGGCACGTTTTCTTGCCACCCTTTTAGTGGATTCCCTATTGCAGTAGACCAACCTGAAGATAATCATCAATCACATGCTAATTCCGTGCTGTAGTGTAACGAGAAGGGACCAGCTTGTACAGCTTGCGTTCGACGTGGCCATCCATGCGTCTATCCGTCCACGGGAATCGCCACTTCCAGTCTGACGTCGAACAGCGACCCTTCCACACCCGCTTCGGCTCTGCAGACGGATGAAGCATTACTTACTTCTTCGCTTTCCGTACCAAGAATTGTTGAGGGCTATGAACATTCGCCATCGTCAGCGACAACCTTTGTGCTTGATAATCTTGCCTTGCTACACCACTGAATCCTGTCAACGACCCCGCACGAGCCCCAAGGAGCCTGCCGGGGTGATGATTGTTCTGCCGGAATAACCCACTTTGCGAACAGTCAACGCTCCTAGTTTGGGAAGGGTTCTCCACTGCACAGATCTATGGTTGAGATCGGCGAGATGAAAGTCAGGCTTATGAGGTGACCCATAAATACATCCCTTATGCCAAGAAGCCCTGAAGGTTTGCTTTCAGAACTTTGCCTTTACTTATAATAGTTGCAGTTTGCTCTAAATAAAAAGCATTAACCTATTACAAGAGACGCTTTAGAATCCCTCTCGCCTCTGCACGCTGCAATTATCTCTCTTTATATACGCCGTTATATGCCCTTTTTATATCCAAACTAATAAGACTTATAACATAATATAAACTCTATGCTGAGAAGATATATTCTTATAGCAGTAAAAGGGCTTACTCTGCTAATCGCTCCTTGCATGCGCGAAAGTAATTCCTTGGAAGCAGTCTTTAAGTCTCTGCTGCATAGGAGATTCTCTCGGTAACTACTAACTCTAACACTTTACCTAGCATAGCTAAAAGCAGGATCGGTCTCCAGGCTTTTGCAATCGTATATTCAGTTACCTTTACCCGGCTTCTTAAGTAGTATAATTTGAGCCTATCTGTAGTATCTTAGTATCACGGCTTCCACTAGTAATGCTTAGAAGATATCAAGCATATATTCGTATTTCACCGACATGTAGACCTGCTTCCGCACAATTACTGGTAGTCTCTCCTCTCCTGACGCTTTCCATGACATTATTGCCTACAATTGGCACTTCACTTCCTCTAGAGACAGGTTCGGTATTATTACTAGAGCTCTCTGCTGCCTCAATCTTTCGTCTTTAATGTTGTCTGGTAGTAGCGGGAAGAACTTTACTAGAAGTTCTTTGGTTTGTTCCTGATGATTTGCTGTTGCTGTTCCGTCTGCTCTGACGAGCTGAGGTACTTTTCCGAAAGCTGCAGCATCCCCGGACTTTACATACTTGGCTACTGTCCAGACATTATCGTTATCCGCCAGAAACTCCTTCCAGTGATTATTCTTGCGTTGTCGGATGGTATCATGATTTTGCTTCGCCGCTGCCAAGTATTGATTTGTTGTTTCGGAGAAAATAACTAGTAGAGGCGCAGCGCGTCTACCCACATAGACCCTCTATGTTACATCCCCTTAAATCCTATTCCTCTCCTCGCGCGGGGCACTGCCAGTCAGGCTGGCGATCTATTCCATGTCCACCGTCCACGTATCCATGGCGTGGAAATAGATTATCCGCGCATCCATTTCCATCCATTCCATGGAGCTGGCCGCTATATAATCCATCTATCCAGGTCATGGTTCCGTGGAATGGATGGGTAGAAATGGAAGCAGGGGTATAGACTGGTAGGGGATTTCTAGCCTAGCCCCCAAGATACTCTGTAATTCAGGGTGAACCAACTTGGTCATAGTCGGAAGAGATCTCAAGTACCTATTTGTATATACAAATTAACGCACCTTTAAACAGAACATAACAGCCATAGGGTCATAGATATTTCGCGTCACGGTGCTGCGTTCGAGCGTCTCTGTGCAAGCGCATTCTTACAACTGCATTCTGTACCGCGTAGAATGGCTGAGAGTCCAATTATCAGATCTATGGTGCTCGAGACGCCATACCAAAGGGATAAGAAGAGCTCATAGGACCTCTTCACTTGGAAAGACATCCCTGGCTATATGCAATCCCAAGGCTGTGCGTCTACATCGTCGTAGATATGGCGATTCGGCTACGATATCGAGAAGAGCGATGACGATACAAAGCGGCGATGGGTTTGCAAGGTGTTAACAGTCGCAGGCCAAACTTCAGTCGGCGGCCTCAAGCGGTGCGCAGAACGCGGAGATCCATCTCTAGAATGACTACAAGGTCTGTAACCCTTCCAGAAGACGGAAGCCGCCTAGCAAAGCAAAGGAGAAGATACCATCGAGGAATATCGCCAAGATGATAAATTGAATACCTGTGACGCGCGAGAGCAGCAGATTGCAAACCAGATCATTGGCCGTTTTGACTGGCTAGTCTTCCAGCATTTAGTAGCCTCGTGGATCATTAACAGCAACTCTTCTTTCCGACAAAGTGAAGATCCATACCTCCGCGCCGCTTTCGAATATCTCAATCCACTCGTGAGGACAACCGGAGTGTAAATTACCCATAATACCGTCCGCAGGCGTATTCTTCAGGTGTACGAGGAAAACAAGGCTGAGATCAAGCGAGTATTAGCAACAGCTCCGGGGTCACTTCATATTGCATTCGATA